GGTATCGATGCGCATCCGATAGGGTGATCGAGTGGCTTGTTGTTTGGGATTTTACGTGTGTTTTTCGAGATCGAAATGATGGGAGAGGGGTACTAAAAGTATCGTTTCGTTTCTTTTTCATTTGGAATTGGGGAGTATGTTAATTGTATCTAGCTGTATATTTATTCGCTATCGAACAATTGATTTAAAGATTAAAATTAATATCCATCTTTTCTTTTTATTTGTATTATTTTAGGATTAATCTAGAGGACGAAAATCTAGATTTTTTTTTTTCTTTCAATTAGATATGTTAGAGTATATTAATTGTATCTAGCTATATATATGTAACATTATTGAACAATTGGTTCAAAGATGGACGTATAATTTTAGGATTAAGCGAGAGGACGAAAATCGTTCTTTTTCTTTTCTTTCAATTAGATATTAGAGTATATTAATTGTATATATATATATATATATATATATATATATGTAACATTATCGAACAATTGATTCAAATATGGACGTATAATTTTAGGATTAAGCGAGAGGATGAAAAGTATCCTCGTTCTTTTTCTTTTTAATTACATGTTAGGATATATTAATTGTGTCTAACTATATATATGTACATTATCGAACAATTGGTTCAAAGATGAACGTATAATTTTAGGATTAAGCGAGAGGATGAAAAGTATCCTCGTTCTTTTTCTTTTTAATTAGAATATTAAGGTATATTAATTATGTCTAGCTATATATATAATCGAATTAAGCGATAGAACGAGTATTCTTGTTCTTACATATATGTAACACTTTCAAAAAATTGATTTAAAGATTAATATCTTTTTATTTGCATATGTGCAATATAGTTTTAGGGTTAAAGTATGATCGAAATCGTGATGGAAAATGTAGTTTCCTTTGCGAGTAGTGTAGATGGCGGGCGAAATTGATATCGTTTTTAATATACATTCGCTGTCCGGTACAGACTGTTGTGTTACGGGTGAGTAACGGCATTATAGATTTGCGGTGCGCCTCTTTCCCACGTCTGTCTCGTCGCTTCCGGCATGCCGTGTACATACGTACCGGCAACGCCACTCCATCAGGATTCATGGCTATAAATATCGCCGTCCATAACACTCTCGTGAGACGATTTTTAAATTAGATAAGAGAATCGCATTCCTCGAATTCAATTTTTATTGTTCGATACAGCAGGGAAGATATAACAATTAAAGAAAAAAAAAACGCTCGTTAGTCTTTAAAGTAATGAGGCCTGGTGCGTGATGAATATTCAGCGATGAAAGATACCGAGAATTTGAATACTCGTGAAAAGGTGATTTTAAATTTTATCGCGCGTTCTTCTTCTTTTCTTTTTTTTTTTTTTTCTAGAAAATTGATTTTAGAATGTTGATTCTCTAACGATTGGAACGAGGAATCTCACATTCGTAAGATCTTAATTAAAATCACGGATTCGGATTAATTCGAAACGAGATCGTTAAGAAAAATTATTCTTCGAAAGAACGTATAATTTCTCGTCGACCAACGAATTTCACATTTCGAGATTCAGCTGGAAATAGCGATGAGAGAGAAGATCAAGGTTGGCCTTAAAAACTCCTCCGCTATGGATCGATGAATTACACCGAAAGGTCTTCCACCTTTTCACGCTAGAGCGTTTTGAACGCTTTCTATTTGGATATTTGCCAGTAGCTTGTAACGGGAATGTATAAAATCGGTCTTGGCCAACTGTCCCCGCGATTCCCTTTTTTTCCCTCCCCCTTATTTTACCCGTTATAAATCCTATTATTGTTACAAAAGGCGCGCGTGAAATCTGAAATTGTTTATCATGGGAAATATGTCTTCGATTACCGTTACGTTGTGGTATAGAATTCCCTGTACCGCTACACCATATGTACAACAATATAAAACATTTTCTTTCGTACGATTTCGATTTATTATTTGCCCGCGATTATCTCGACGCATCGATTATCTCATCGTTCACTTTTTAAAATCCCGCCGCGTTATCGACGCAAGATCGACGATTACGCATAGCTTAACGATAATAAAATTTTTATCAATCGCGATGACAATGATTTTCAAATAATCTTAATCTTCGCGCGTGGCACGCGAAATATTCGCGTCAGCATTTCGAACGGCAGAGAGAATCGAGGCGCTTCGAGCTCGTATCGCTGCTGACGTCAATCATAATTTACTTCTGAACCGCACGTTCCCGTGTCATTTGACCCACCTTCGCGCAACTTTAATCACGCTTGATCGCTCGCTCTCACGTACAGGATAAACACGCTTGATGCGAAAAATTACACGTTCCATCCCGTCTTTGTCCTTGGCTTAATTGGAATACCACAATCTGTTCGATCGATCGAAATTGTTGTTGTATATGAAAATTGTTAATAAACCACGTATTATTTTCAGGTCACGTATTCGGCAGACCTCGCGATCGAGATACCAGGAAACTTGAGCCAGGGAGGTTCTTGGTACCGTTTGGACTACAGCCCTGCAGTCGGTTATCCACCGCCCAACACCACCATAGCCGCCATCGACATAGGTGACGTGATAAAATTCAAGGACGGCCTGCCAGGAACCAAATACGAATTTTGGTTGTACTATAGCAACAGTAGCCTCCACGATTGGCTAACATGGACCGCGTCCATAACTACGGGTACGTGAATAATTTGTTACATATGTATAATTGTTTGGTTCTTTTTTTTTTTTTTTTGGAAAGAATAATTAAAAGTTAAATTAATTAAGAGTTAAAAAAAAAAAGAAAGAAAGAAAAGAGATACGTTCGATTAAGTGTTACCATTTGTCGATGAAAACTTGCAGATGTTTGAATCGTTTCTTATCCCGACAATGCATAACAATTTGAAAAAAAAGCTAATCGTCTGATGTCTGTTCCGATGTTTCGAGCGAATATCAATTTTGTTGAAATCTTTGATTGGAAAACATGTTGTGCATTCATTTGTCTTGTTGTTAACAGGCGACTATTAACAACTCGAAGAATGCTTTTCACGAACTTTGTTTGCCTTCCAATCACAATATTATCGCTTCGTAGGAAAGGAGAGATTGTACTCAACCGAGTACACTGCTTTTTCTTTCTTTCTCTCTCTCTCTCTCTCTCTTTTTTTATATACAAAATTTCTCGAATCAAGCCAATCACACTACGAATAAAAATCCTTTTCAATTACTTTAAATTACATCTTTCAACTCGTTACCTTCGTTCCTACTAAAAACTCCACAATATATTCCATCCTCCGTATAACAATAACACTAATAATAATAATAATAATAATAATAATAATGGAGATTAAAACTTCTAACTTCGTTCTTAATCGCGTTTCCTTCCTCTCGAATTACTTGGAACGAACTTGGAAGAATCGACGGCGCGAATTGAATTGAATTCGAAAAGCGAATTGACGAATTACGTTTTTCAGCCCCGGATCCTCCCTCGAACCTCACCGTCTCGGTGAGAAATGGGAAGACGGCGATAGTCTACTGGGCGCCGCCTGCCCAGGGCAATTATTCCGGGTTCCGGTTAAGGGTGCAAAGTTTCAGCGACACGGGGAATCCGAAGACAAGCGTCATACCGGCGGACGCGGTCCCATACGTGCTCCGCGACCTCATACCAGGGGCCACGTACTCCCTCCAACTGTTCACCGTGTTGGACACCAAGGAGAGCGTCGCGTACACGAGCAGGAATTTCACCACCAGTGAGTATCGATCCCTCCTCGTTGTCGTTGAAATTTGGCAACGTGATGGAATAATTAATTAATAATTAATAATCCAAGTCTAAAATGTCAAACGCGAGAGTTTCGCGTGGGATTTTGGTATTTGTTATTTATATATGCATATTTGATTTGAATGAAAGAATTGGTCGATGAATTTTCGTTACGAGTTGTTGTCGACCATGTTTCCTAAATTGAGTGAACGGTTATTTTTTTTTTCCCCTCAGTTTAATTCGTTTGTAATTGGATTACTTTCGAGTTTGATTAAAATGTAAATTCAGAAATTTCTAGGGGAGTGATTAAATATTGATGAGGGGCAGCGGATTTTTATTTATTTTTTTTCCTATCCTTTTTAGAGCCGAACACACCGGGCAAGTTCATCGTATGGTTCAGAAACGAGACGACCTTATTGGTCCTGTGGCAGCCTCCCTATCCTGCCGGGATTTACACTCATTATAAAGTTAGTATAGATCCCGCAGATGCCATAGAATCCGTTCTTTACGTCGAGAAGGAGGGGGAACCCCCCGGGCCTGCACAGGCCGCCT